TGTGGGCATCAGAATGCCAGAATTGACTCTGTTTTCGATCTCGTCCACAATTTCTTGATGAGTATCATTATCTTTCAGATGTGACAGAAAATCCTTGTACTTGTTGAAAAAGATTCGCTCGACTGCCCTTGATGGGCCTCTCGTGGAGTTTATGCAACATATGTTCATCGAAAATTAATAATTATTGTTTTTTTTCTCTGCTTGGGGATAAGAAAATTCTATTCTGAACTAAGGACAGAATCATGGGTGTACCGTTACTTTAGATACAAACAATATTCCAAAGGAAATATTTTACGACTACTGCCTTTGCTTATATGATATTCTTAAACTGTGACATTTGAATTTGATTTTGTTTAATCAGATATCTCTAGGAAAAAAGGCAGAATACCCAATGAGGCGTTGTAAATAAAGACAGACTACTCTTACTTGGGGTACAGTATAAGTCCTTTCCATCTTGGGTACGTTCAATTTTCAAAAATAGAGATTCTTGGGATCACATCGGAAGGCTAGTTTTGTATGAAATCACACAAAACATTCACCAACATTCTAATCTATTATCTTATTTCTTTTTCCGTCTTAATTGATTGAAATCATACCTCACCAATTTTTCTCTCACATCTTAATGCAAAAACAAAAAATATATTTTGTACAGTCTAGCCAAGTCTAGACAGCAGAATTTTATTATGCCGAAGCAAAGGTAAAAAGCATAAAACAATTATTTATAGATAGGCCTAAGCATATGTTTCATATCTAGCTTTTTTTCCTTCCTTGGTGAACACTATCTACAGGTACACGGCACTGCAATGGGCACCCGCATGGCCCCGTCGATGGCTTGCCTCTTCATGGGCGACCTCGAAGAACGCATTCTTGCCTCGGCCCCATGTCGCCCTTGGATCTGGTGGAGATATATTGATGATGTTTTTTTTCATCTGGACCAGTGATAAGGACAGTCTCTTGACCTTCACTAACCACATCAATTCCTTCCACAGAACCATCAAATTCACATCGGAGTTCTCGGCTCACCAAACCCACTTTCTGGATGTCACCGTCCGCAAGCAAGGCAACTCACTAACCACTGACCTGTATTCCAAACCCACAGACACCCACGAGTACCTCCACTCCTCCAGCTGTCACCCCAGGCACTGCAAAACTGGCATAGCGTTTAGCCAGGCACTCAGACTCAGAAGAATTTGTTCTAATGATTCCGATTTCTCCCGCCATACACAGATACTGAGGAACAACTTGGTGGCCAGGGGTCACAGCTCTCGCCAAGTTCATCGTGCCATTGCCAGAGCTAATGCTATCCCCAGAAATCTAGCTCTCACGGGAAAGGCCCCTGATGCCATGGCCAAACCCATGATTCCCTTGGTTACCACGTTTCACCCCAATCTCCCTCCCCTTCGCAAAATCACTAATGACAATCACCATATCCTCCATACTTCAGATCGCCTTGCCCGCGCCATCCCCAACAGCCCCACATTGGCTTACAGGCGTCCTCGAAATCTACGGGACTTGATTGTTCGAGCTGAAGTCCCTTCCTTAGATGCATCCCCTCCCACCCAGCATGGTACTTTCAAGTGCAGTTCCAGATGTGTTGTCTGCCAGATTCATATCCAGGAGTCTGACTCCTTTTCTGGCCACTCTTCTGTCACTACCCATAGAACCATTGGTAACATCACTTGTAACACCTCTAATGTCATATATCTCATTTCTTGCAGGGTCTGTGGAGTGCAGTATGTAGGTGAGACTAAGAATACGCTCAAGAAGCGTTTCTATGCCCACCGGTCAACGGTCAACACCAAGAAACTAGACACCCCTGTTGGTCATCACTTCAACCTGCCTAACCACTCCATTTCTGATATGATTTTGCAGGGCATTGAATCTCTTGGCCATCGCAAGGTCTCAGTTCGCCTCAGCAGAGAGAAAGTGTGGATGAATCGTCTTCGAACTATTCAACCACATGGTCTCAACATCCAACTTGGAAATGATTAATCCTTTTCTTCCTCCATTGTCTTCTGTTACAGATAATCCATCTGGTCTTCCTTGTTTGTGTTTACCCATCTTCCCCCATCTTTCATCCCTTTCCACCTCAATACTGTCCCCCCCCCCCCCACATCATCCCTTCACTCTCACACTCTTTTGTCCGTTCCCACTCCCTGTGACCTTTGATCCTTCCCCTTTCTGGTCCCTCCCCTGTTTACACAAGACCCCTTGTGGTTTGCCATCTCCCTTTGTTTCTTTGTTCTCTCATCCACCCTCCCCTGCATCTTTCCACACCTTTCACACCTAATCCTCCTTTTGTGTTTCTTCTTTCAGCCCTGCATGTTTGTGTGCACCCCCATGTTAATGTATGTACCTCTGTCATTTCTGTTTTAGCCTCTGAAGAAGAACTTGCTAAGTTCGCAACGTCAGGCCACATTAATTTTAAGATTTATATATTTCAGGTCCATCCAGTCAGTAAGCAGTTTGCAGCAGTTTTACTTTTTTTCATATCTAGCTTTTGTTAGATGACAGCCGCATTTTATTATGCCGAAGCAAAGATAAAAGCATAAACTTGTATAGGCCTAAGCCTAGGTTTCATAAACTCCAAGGACGTCAGAGGCTCCGTCAAACTCCATATTGAAGTCTATCGATTCTGATTCTATTTTTGAGTAGCCATGTGCAGCACAAGAAATGCAATTCGAAACGTTAGACCATGTCTGCCATGTATAAACCTCCACTGGCCGAGACAGTAACTAAGTTCAAATAAAGTAAACAGCTAACTACGTGTCCAAAAATATCGTGAATTTCATCCCAACTAACTCCGTTGTTTACCAATAGAATTAAGCCGCAATTTCAGATCATGGCATGACAAAGTTTATAGAGCGAGTTTCAACAGCTTTGTGCAAGAGGGTAAGATTTAATGTTCAAATAAAGGAAACAACTACCTGCGCGTCAAAAAATATCATAAATTTGATCCTAACTAAAATGACTGTTATTTACTAATATAATTAAACCTCGATTTCAGATAATGGCATGACACATTTTATGGAGCGAATTTCATCAGCTTTGTGCAAGAGGGTGAGATTTAAACGCCATGCTAAAAAAACTCACTTTCAGAGTGTCGATACAGCGCTGGAGACGGTGGCGGAAGGCGCGTGCTGCGGCCCAAAGCTTCTGAAGGAATGCAGGATCACCCCTGATGTCATTGCACACCTCGATCTTTAGGCGCAACACACGATCGAGGAGATGGGCAATGACCGAAAGCGTGCACCAATTACTTCTATTTTTGTTCACTCTTTTCATCCATTTTGACATCAAATTTTATCGATACCTATTAATTCTGAAGGTTTACATCCTTCAAACTGCCAGAAAAAGACCAAAATTAAGTATAGGACTCCACGCCCCCCATTGTTACCCGTTCTGCCCTATATGACCAATGGTCGTTACTTCTTACATTTGATAATCGCACATGCGCATGCGTCTATTAATTCTATTTTATGAGTAATGGGTCCACTGGCGAAGTTCTTTTCTTTTTGGAGGGGAGGGGTGTTTGTTTTCCTTTATTTGTGTTAACGATGTGCATGATGTGTTCAAACATGAACAACAACCCCTTGAGTCACATGGTCTCTAATTGTAACGTCTGAAACTGTATACGTGTTTAAAACTAACTGGCAACTTAGACGACCGTTCTGTTCCATTTGTAGCCTTTAGTCAAGTCCCACGCGCCTATACCCGGACCATCCGGACACGTAACGCACCCTGGATGCTGGCACGTAAAAAGACGTTAAAAAACCCCTCACTTTCAGAATGTCGATACAGCGCTGGAGACGGTGGCGGAAGGCGCGTGCTGCTGCCCAAAACTTCTGAAGGAATGCAGGATCACCCCTGATGTCATTGCACACCTCGATCTTAAGGCGCAACACACGATCGTTGTGGCCGGATCCGTGTTTTGCAGTAAATTTACGCGATAATTTCACATCATCTTTATGAGACTATAGATTGTTTATAATGTAATTTGAACCTTAATTAAGGAAAAAGTACCAATCTGCATGTGATTTTCAGTGTTAATAGTGTATGTCGAGTAATTCTGGGGAATTTGGCAGATTTTTGATAAATCTGACAGATTTTCGATGTGTATTTAGCAGAATTCGGCTCTGGCCTTACGGTCACCCTGGTGAGATTTAAACGCCATACTAAACACAAAAACTCACTTTCAGAATGTCGATACAGCGCTGGAGACGGTGGCGGAAGGCGCGTGCTGCGGCCGAAAGCTTCTGAAGGAATGCAGGACCACCCCTGATGTCATTGCGCACCTTCTCGATCGTTTGGAGCAACACACAATCGAGGAGATGTGCAATGGCCGAAAGCGTGCACCATTTACTTCTATTTTTGTTCACTCTTTTCATCTATTTTGACAGTTTCGAAGCCTATGATTCTCAGAAGGCTTACATCCTTCAAACTGCCCAAAAAAACCACCAAATTTAAATACAAGTGCGAGTAAAAAAACACCTATTATACACTTTTAAAATTGGCCATGGTTTTATTCTCTAGCAAAATAATAAGATATTTTCATATGCACTTTTAGAGTAACTCTTCCTGCTTATTTTGGTGACATTTTCACTGGATTAGTTTTCATGCATGACTGCATGAAAATATCTTTTCTATATTGCTACAGAATAAAACTATGGCCAATTTTAAAAGTGTATATTTTTTTTGACTCGCACTTTGACTCCATCTCTCCCCGTTCTGTCATGTACCAATGATCGTTACTTCTTTCATCCGATAACCGCATATATGCGCCCATGCTTGTACTAGTTATATTTTATGATTAATGCATAAGTAATGAGTAACGCATAATAATGGTCCACTGGCGAACTTCTTTTCTTTTTGGAGGGGAGGGGTGTTTGTTTTGTTTGTGTTTACGATGTTTACGATGATTGGTTCAAACATAAACAACCGCCCCTAGAGTCACGTGGTCTTTAATTGAAACGTCTGTAGATGTAGGCCTACGTGTTTCAACAAAACTGCCAATAGATGACGGGTATGTGACATTTGAACCCAGCTACTATACAAAGACGTGTACTCGGCGCTGTTGTGGAGCATTCGTTCAGTAGACATCAAGTTGAAAGCATCCAGTGCATTTCCGCCTCCTGACTTTGCTTTGGTTTTCAAGTCTGTTTCAACCTGAAATGTAAGCTTTGGATAAATGTGGCCAGATTTGATATGTCAGTTGCTTGAAAAGAACCCCCCCCCCCCGGCAGTATTACATTTGTTGATGATTAACGACAATCTGTCACGGATGTGCGTTAATATAACTTTACATGTATAAAAACGACAGTGATATATACGCGTTATGTATACTTTTACTGCTGCTTCTGAGCGAACTTCATGAAAAGTACAAAATGCGCAACAACCAAATTAATCTGCGGGGAAAAAAGGAATGACATAATTTTATGTTACATGCTCGCACTTGTTTACGCGTCGTCTTACATTGCGATACAACCATATCATTGCCAGTTTCTTACTGTCATTCGTTTTCTCCCTCACTTTCTAGATTAGCCAGAATGAAGGTTTACATGTGCCTGCTTCTCCTGATGGTCGTTGGATGTGTCTTCGGTTTGGCAGAGACGGACGGTAAGTTAATATGTTCCATTATTCTTACGGTTCCGACATGTAGCATAGTGTCCTTATAACCACATTCGCACAGCCCCGTGGGCCTATCGTATGTCATGCTTGGAGTAAATGTATTTGATTCGATTTTTGATAATTTTGATTATAGTCTATATAAACATATTGAAATGAACGTTTAAGTTTTCATTGTAGAGGAGAGAACTCTTATTGTCAACATTGCCTTAAATCGCTCTACTAAAGTTCTGATGATGTTCCATCTTTATTGGAATTTAGAAAAATAAAACTTAGCTTAAACACTGTCTTTAAAGAGGGCTTTAAGATGATTAGTTGTGGCTTTTGTGGATTTCCCCCTAAACCTGCATGTTCCAAGGTTTTTAATAACAAAATATGTATATATTTTTGTTCGGTTTATTTTCAAATTATCAAACACTATGACACATTACCCGTTGGTTTTGTTATTCAATATATGTGAAGATTAGGTCATTGTTATCCTTAGGTGCAATTCACGCTATCTTTAAGTGCAATCCATGAATTCAGCACCAAAACCCCTTTTTAATGTCATGCAGACTTTCTTGCTGATGAGGAGTTGGTGCAAGAGCTGGAATCTCGCGAGATTGTGAAGAAGTGTAAGTTCATTGGTATTTAATAAGAATTTTGTAAAAAGAAAAAATATTTGAGCCGGGTTGGCACTACGACATGAATCAAAGCTTAGGAATTATTGAAAAGATGTGTTTCTGTTTATGCTGCCCGGGCGAATGCTGTTGTTTTTCTTGCAAATTTCAGTTAAGGTTTGATCATTTTCATACAGAATCTTTCATATTCAAGAAATTTTCTTGAATTGAAAAATTACATTTCGTTTTTTTTTTTGTGCACACAGTTTTTCGTTGCAGTTATTCTATTTTCTTTGAAATGCATTCAAGGTGACATTGTCATCCATAAGTTTACTTTTTGCCAATTACTTTTAATGAAATATTTGGCAATTGTCGAATAGCGTAAGATTTTGTAAAGTTTCTATTTCATTTATAGGCAATCACTTGTTACTGTCAGGGGTTCATTTATCAATACTGATGACATCAGGATTGATTATTTACACACCGGGTGTACAATTCTCCTTTCATTGGGCGCTGTTATCGGCGTTTGCTGCTTATTTAATCAGTCCTATCCTTTTGTTTGTATGAATTAATAATTTTCGTTTGCATTGTTTTGAATCGGAAGACAGTAAGACAAAAAATCTGAAAATCAAAAAGTGAATCTAATGAATCTTCAATGGAAACGAAACCAAGATGTTTTCTTGTTTATTTGCCTTGTTATTCTTTGAACGGGTCGTTTTATTATTTTGGTTAATTTCTGTTCACCGGGAACATGTTGGAATCTGAATGCAAATAACACAGAAACAAATTTGAACGCAAACATGTGAATAAAGTATGTGTGTCCATTCAGGAAATTCAATGCATGATAAACCTCGTGATATACTATCTCCGATCAAGGGCGGATCCGGGGGGGGGGGGCCAAAGGGGGCCATGGCCCCCCCAAAAACGAAACCTTTTTTTTTTTATGTAACATCGCAATAAAGGCAGGCAATGAGTACATCACCATCTTTTCCTCAAAAAAAACATTGGTTAAAGTGGTCAGAAATTGCCTCAGATCGCACCACAGAGCATCTAGAATCCAAATTTTTTTCGGGGCCCTTAAGCGGGCCCCGAACCCCACGCCGTAATTTATTGGACCCACTTTTTGGGGGGACCAAAATTTTTTTTTTTGCCCCCCAAAAATTGTGTTCTGGATCCGCCCTTGTCTCCGACAAATTGGAATGAATGAATACCATTTGAAGTTGAACTAACTATTTGTCATGTCAATTCTATAGCTAAACTTAGGGAAGCAAACGACTCTTCTTGGGGACTAAATGTATTAATTTTCAAATAGAACTGGTTGAAAGGGTCTAGAAATAAATTGAATGATCTTTTTTTAGGGGGGGGGGGGGTGTTTGAAATTGGCCGGAATCCGATAGTCCAGAGTTATATCTTTTCAAGATCATTATTCTGAGAAAACCGATATCTGAAATTTGGAACAAGTCTCTTTTCTGTGTGGTATAAAAACAAACAGTTTGAGGCTTTTACTGTATGGTAATTTATCCTGGGTCCGTGTAAACATTGACAGTCTCTTCAAAGCTTCCTTCAACAGGTTGTCCACACAAATATTTCTGTACGAGTCATTCGATCACTATGTTGGTTTCTGTTTCAGCTTGCACAAATGATAACCAATGTAATAGATATACCAGGTGTCGTAATGGCCGTTGCAGCTGGGGCTAATGATCGGACGCTAGGTATATTGGCAGTCAACACGAACGATTTAAACAACGGTAAGCCCATTATTGTAGATTTAGTGAACTTTCCCCGTCATCTCTCAGTACGAAATGACAGGATTTCTTTTTGTACTGAAGTTCTGCATGTATCAATTTCAAAATCTAAGAAATAAAAGCCCAATTAATGTGCTTTCTTTTAGTATAAGAATAATTCAAATCACTCATGTACTTTTTCAAGTTACTCGATTTTAAACACAACCACCGTTTCAAAGTTCTGTCCACGGATCACAAAAAAAGGTAATTGTTCTTTCAGCAAAACGACTACAATTCACATAGGGATGTATGTATGTGAATTGTTTTCGTCTGTTTTGTTTTCGAATTGTTTGTGTTTCAAATCCCGTAACTTGAAAAGTACATGAGTGATTTGTATGATTCTTGTACTAAGGCTAAAAAAAAAGTCTCTGGTTTCTGGTATGGAGCTTGCCCAAAAAAGTGGTGCGGCGACGCGGCTTTTTTTTTTAACCTGTTTTTTTTTTGGCTTCAAATGTCGGCTGATGACTGCAAAATGGTGCCCGACTAAACTTATAGTGCAAATATATGGGAGTCCAGAGAGGCCACATAAAGCTTATTCTCGATCATAACCCCATATAAAAACACGTTGAAATTGTGCAGCTGCAGGATTCCAGTCAAACCAGTGAGATTGGCGATTTTGAGACATCATCTTTCATTGAAAAAAAAACACCCAACTTTTTCATTTTGCCGACGCGCATGGCTACGGCGACGCGTGCGCATACCAGAAACCGGAGACTTATTTTTTTTTTTGCCTAAAGGAAAGCTTATTAATTGAGCTTTTATATCCTAGATTTTGAAAGTACTATTACTGCAGAACTTCATTACAAAAATGGTCCTGCTATTTGGGCTTATTTTTTTCTTGACTCACCCGGTATAATAGGTCTGGTGTTGCTAAACATCTTTGTTTACGACATGTCCTCTGAAACGTTCAATTTGTTAGTCGTTGGAGAAATCATGGTTTTTGTTCTTCTTTTAATATCTCCATGCAGATCGTCAGTGGTTAACCGACAGCAAGGCTTTATTCGGATTAAATAAAGAAAGATTTGACCAGTGGCGTAAATCTGTGCCGGCGATTAGTGGGGGGGGGGGGGGGACACGGGAGATGACCACAATCAACAAATTGCCTGGCCGTGGAAATTCCAAAAGCGGGGGGGGGGGGGGGGGGGGGAGGGGGCTGGACACCACATTACACTAGGGGCGCTCTTCAGGATTATGTATATCAATATGTACTAAATCCAAAATACCCCATATTTTTAAAGCTTTAAATTTGTACTTTGTTTCAGTGCTATTGAGTAAATTTGGGTTGTTGGGATGTTCAACAAATACCTCGAGATCCGCTTTCACGAAAAAGTGTGGGGGGGGGGGGGCTATTCCATAGCCCATCCCCCCTGGTCAAAAGGTAGCCCATCCCCCTGGTCAAAAGGTGTGGGGGATATATACCCCCCCCTTCCCCTCTGGGATTTACGCTTCTGGCTTTCGACATTAATTCAGTTTTCTTCTTTCCTGGTAAGATTGTCGATTTTTTTTGTTAACAATACTGCATGGGTCCGTGTTCCAGCCAGTTTTTCCATTGATTCCGTGACAGTGCTGTTCACGTCTGAAGTCTGCTCAATGTGAATTTAAAGAGTGATACTGAAATCAAAATGAAACAAAAAATATCTATACTCGATCCGTCAATACAGACATATATTAAACGATCGGCACATTTGAATTGTTCACAGAACGCATAAAAATCTAAATTCTTCTCGTCATTGAAATGACACAAATTATGAGCTCGAGCACGGACTTAATAATTATCTCCATGTGATGTGTTTTAAAAACAAATCTATGTTTGTAATCTTAGTTTGTTCATGTCTGTAATGTTTTTGTTCTTTTTTGGATATCGAATATCCGTGATGTTGGGTAAAATCCACTTTTAAAATATCCATAAATATTAATCCTGCATGTATCGTTGAAGCAGCGCTTGGATATGGGAACATTTTATGCATCCTAGGATATTTTTTTTGGAAAGGGTGGAACACAAGCCCCAGAGAAAACATAAGGTTATACTTTCTAAATTGGGACACTTTTTATCGTGATTTCAAATAAAACATACGTTGAGGGTTAGCCACCAACATTTAGGTTTGATTAGGCCAAAAAAAAGTCTCCGGTTTCTGGTATGGAGCTTGCCCAAAAAGTGGTGCGGCGACGCGGCTTTTTTTTTTTTTACGGTTTTTTTTTGCTTCAAATGTCGGCTGATGACTGCAAATGGTGCCCGACTAAATTTAGTGCAAATATATGGGAGTCCAGAGAGGCCACATAAAGCTTATTCTCGATCATAACCCTATCTAAAAACACGTTAAAATTGTGCAGCAGCAGGATTCCAGTCACACCAGTGAGTTTGGCGGTCTTGAGACATCATCTTTCATTGAAAAAAAAAAACCTTTTCATTTTGCCGACGCGCATGGCTACGGCGACGCGCGCGCATACCAGAAACCGGAGACTTTTTTTTTTGGCCTTAACGTGCTTGTTCAGAAAGCTGCGATGAACTGCATTTTGGGTGTGATCGTTATATTTGCATTCCAGAACGGACACTACATGTATAATGGCAACGTACCAATGCAATCATAAATAGCCTAGCCATATGTTACGCCCCAACTATATCACTTCGTCCCAACTATATAGTTGGCACCATAATCATAGTTGGGTGTAAAAGCTTTAATGGTTCTATTATTTAGGAAAGATGCTTAACCCGAAAGGGGCCTGTTATGACTTAAAAATAAAAAATAAAAATTATAAAAATAAAAATAAAAAACGTAAAAATCGGACCACGGGTTGGCACGTAGCGAAAAATTTTCCAGCGCTACGCGCCGTGAAAACTGAATTTTCGCATATACGTCGTGTACACCGAGCAGAATTGCCCTTCATACATATGAATAATTAATTTGTCATAATTCCAAAACCCTTTGACCTATAGTCATGAATTTTCTTGGGCATGTTTAGGAAGAGTTGCTCTATGCATGTGCTGAGTTTCAAAATTTTTCGTCACTCGATGGCCGAGATCTTAGGGGGGGGGGCGGAATCCGCGGAATCCTTTAGGGTTAAATGTGATTTTATTTCTGTCGCTGAGGATGTCATCAGACAGAATACTATATTCCTTTGAAAATGATAATTGTTGTATTAATGTAAACAGGAAATTGTGTTGTGTAAAATACTCGGCCATTATGCATATCTTTCTTGCACAACTTGGATAGGATGTTAG